CAGATGTTTAATTCATTCAACTTATTCTTCAAAAAAAATCATTTTACTTTTGTTTGAGTGTAAGAGGACAGGCTTCATCAAATCACGTTCCTCAAGGGAACAAACGATCCCCCCTGCAGATAAACCCCAACACTCCCCCCACCACAGCCCCCCACCACACCCCCCCACCACATACCCCCACCACACACCCCCACCACACAACCCCACCACAGACCCCCACCACAGACCCCCACCACAGACCCCCACCAAAGTTGTCAAAGGACAATGAAGCCTGTCTTCACAACCAACCAAATGATTGGATGGCCTCACTGGTGGAACAGGCTTGAGGGGCTGAGTGGGTCACTCCTATTCCTGGGCCCCAGATTACACCGAGGGCAGTTATCCTTAGCGCTTGTTTAAGGCTGGCTAAGTGTCAAGTGTCCCCTCCTCACATCTCCCTCTGCCTTCGTGGTGAAGGCTAAAGGCTGACCTTGATCAGGCTGTGTGACTGGCTACATCGCTGAGCTCTCTTCCCCAGGATCCAAACTCAGGGGATGTCACCCATCAGTCGAGCTCTGGTGGTCAGAGAAAGTGAGAGAGAGAGAGAGACTAGTAACTGTGTCCTCACCCCAAGAGCAGTGAAGGGGGAGGCAAAATGGGGTGGGGGCAGAACATACGGTCACAGCATAGTGAGATACAGAGAGCCTGGGGATCAGGAAAAGCTTGGATTGAGAGGGTGGGAAGCAAAGGCGAGGTAATGGGATTCAAAGATCTGGTGCCAAAACACACTTCATAACGATGATGTTCATATCAGGCTCCTCAGGCGGGGGTAGGGTCTAAGAGTGCTTTACCGTGACTCCTGCGAAGTGCTCTGAGACGTATCGGTGACTCAATAATATTATTGTTAATACAAGCCCATAAACAGGTGGTGCGGGCTCGATGGGCTGAATGGCCTTCTCCTGTTGTTCCTGTGATGGGGGTTGGCTGTGGTGGGGTTCAGGGGCTGGTGTGAGGGCGAGTGTGTGTGTTGTTCGCTGACAGACAGTAAAATTGCTTTGAGATGAAATGTAATGTTCGTGTTGCTGCAGTGCCGTGTGTGTCGGGCTGATGGATCAGCTTCACTTAACTTTCATTTCCTGGTGTCACTAACCCGTGCTGGGCCACAGCACACGCACCGCACACATCAGTGAGTGTGATCACGCCACCTGTCTACACACACACGCCTGACCCTGACACACATGACACACAGACACATAGGTATCAGCCAGTATCAGCCCCCACCCCCACACACTCACCCACCTGATCTTTGTCTCCCTGCCCCACCCTCCCCAGGGACAGAGGCTTACGCACACAATGGGGGCAACACCTGGGCCCCTGTGTGTTCATGTGTGTGTGTGTGTGTGTGGAGGGTGGGGGGGGGGGGTGAGGCCTGGAAGGGAGGGGGCGAGGCAGGGGGATAAGCTGAGTGGGTGGGGGCGAGGCAGGGCGGGAGTGTGAAGCTGGGGGGGCAAGGCGTGGGGCGAGGAAGTGGTTGGCGGGAGCGGGGGCGGGGGCGGGTTGTGGGGGGTGGTCATGTGCAGCAAGTCTGAGTTAGCTAAGCGGAGGGCGGGGGAGGGGATGGGAGGTCACAGAGACAGGGAGGTGTGAGGGGGTGAGGAGGAGGCGCTGGGAGCCGGTGACTGGCAAGGATGGCAATGATAACAAGGATGGCAAGGATGGCGTACGGAGTTGGTGTAGGGCGGGGGGGAGGGGGGGCACAGTTGCGGAGGTTGTGGACAGTATACCTGGGGAGAGCAGCGAGCTGTGCATCATCAAACCTGGTCACGAGGTAACAACGAGTGAACAAGAGTTTAACAAAATGCTGGATTTATGTAACCCGGGCACAGGGTCTGCGATAGAGGGGAAACTTCTGAAAAAGCTGCTGTTTTCATGGGTTAGTGACACCAGTGTTCAACTCTGCCCCTGCCGCTCACCTGCACACCCCTTACCGGGGGTCTCGGGGGCTTATGCCCTCAGTGTGAGGCTGACAATAAAGGTGACCACAACATCTCTCTCACTGATGATCACACGGCCGAAGCTGAGAGCATGGGGAACCTGGGGAATCAACGCAGAGGCCGAAGGAATCTTAAGCAGCTCTAAATGTACTGTAGCTGTAAAGGGATTAGGTGGGGGTGCCCTGCTCTCTCATCATCGTTCTCCAGCCCTTCCCGACATTTTCCCACAAGAACAATCCAGCTGCTGTTGCGGGATCTTCCTGTCAGTCTCTGCCTGGCTCTGGAGCCTCCTATCCCTTTCCCAAACCGGGATCTTTATCCCACTCTTTATCAATTTCTCTACAATACACACAGTCACTGCACTTTACTTCAGGGCACTGCTGATGACAGCAAAGCCCAGCCCGGGTCATCAACAGGACCAGGAAGGGCAGACCAGTCACTGGGGGCAGGGAATCCTCCCCCTCAGCTCCCGTTAACCTGCAGCCAAAGCCCTAACGGGGAGGGTGGTCCTAGCTGGACTAGCAGCGGAAAGCTGGCCAGGCAGTGATATCAATGGCAAGCTATGTGTGGGTTTAACTGGTTAGACTCCAGCAATTACCCCAATGCACACTCTGGGGGTCCCCAAGCCTTGGCTCTTGCCAGCTTGCGCCTATTACTCTCCGGAATTAGGTAAGCAGGATGTGTCCCTTCAGGGAGTGAGAGAGCGGATTCCATCCCAACAATCTATCTCTGGGATTTCTACATGTAGATGGGCTGCATGGAATTCTCAGCTTGGTTGGGATAATCCTAAGAGTAGTGATGGGTTTCTGCACATCTCAGACACCCGACTCGCCAAGAAAAAACACTCCTGTGAAGTGCTCTGTGAAGCCCTCCTGATGTGCATATCGCTGATAAAATGTACGGATTATTGTTGATCTGAACACAATGCCACCAGCACCAAATGGTTTCATCGGAAAACCATTGCATTTTTACAGCGTCCTATCACATCAGAGCATCTCAAGGTGGTTCAAAGGTACCTGCCGCCCAGTGTAGTGACTGTGCTTTGAGTCGGCAAATGCAGCAGCTGTTTTGTGCCCAGCAAGGTTCCCTCAGTGACTGATAGCTGGGGGGAATATTGGCCATGACCTTTTCTCTTTTCCAACAACAACAACTTGTATTTATATATTATATTCACACCGAATGGCATGCTCTGAACACTTACCAAGGAAGGTACCAATAGAACCAAGATTCATCTGATAAAGACCCATAACACTATCTCCCTCTCTTGCAGTGTCCTGGCCAACAATCCCCCAGATATAAACATCAGCCACTCACTCCATGGTTGGTTTGAGACTGTATTGTGTGCAAAATGGCTGCCACGTTCCCTCACAAATACACAATCTAATTACTGCAAAGATATATGAGATTTTTCCAAGTCACAAGATGCTACAAAATCTGTATTTGTTCACAGCTCCATCTCAGCTCTCAGCCTCACATTCCCTCGCTCGGCGCCTCTCAGGGCGATAATAATAATTTGGTCATTCAATCCACAACTATTTGTGGGACGCTGCTGTGCGCAATTGGCTGCTGCGTTTTGCCCACAAAATGTACAGTCAATTCATTTTCCAGTGTATTCTGTGAATACACAGAGACACGATAAGGATTATTATTATAATAAACACTGATATATGGTTATTATAACCCAGAGTAATGTTCCTCTCTCGCTCCACTGAGAACCCGCTCAGCTCTGTGAGAATCTTTGTGTCACTCAGTAGGGATTCACTGACCACGCATTATGGAATCGAAAGATTCGTCATAATAATAATAATAATAAATAATATATCAATCCAACATCTGATTTAGTGCCATCAACTCAAAGCTTTTCACAGGCAAATTTCCGTCAGGTGTAGTGACTGGCAAATTTGACTAACACAGCTGTCAACAACAACAAACAACAAATTACATTTGTACAGCGCCTTTCACGTCGGGAGCACATCCAGTTTGCGCACAGCAATGTCCCCCAAGCAACCCGAAGTAAACAACCGGTTGCATCTGGGAGATTGTCAGCCAGGACACCTTCTCTTTTACAATAGTGCCTTTTAATGAGATCTTTCGTGTCTCACGGAGCCGAGAGTGTGAGTGGGTGAGTCAGGCTGTTGTGAACAAAGACGGGCATTTGATGTATTTACCATGCAGTGCAAAATCGTACCCCCACCCCACCCCCAAGCCCTGGCACACCGTCCGCCAGCCCTGGCACACCCACCCTCCTTATCTCATACAATCAGAGATTAACCCCCCCTCATTGGAGGCTGGAGACAGGAGTCAGGGGGATTATGATGAAGAGGTCTGGTGTTTGTTATCAGAACTGCTCATCACTGGACTTATCCTGTGACTGGGAGTCAGTATCCCAGTCTGTGTTAGACTATAATGTGGACTATTACAGGCTGAGGGCTGCCTGAATCCTAATGTTCGGAGTGACCAGACTCTCAAAGGGTTAATTTCACTCTCATCTCTCACTCCTCATCCACACAGCAAAGGACAGTGTACACTCTCTCTCACACACACAGTCCAGTATTCATCAGTGATAAAATCCATCAACAAATTCAGGGCAAATAGAACTAACTCATTACAAAGAATACTGTGGATGGTGAGATGAACACAATGATACAGACAGAGAGGAAAAGACAGAGAGAGATGTGTGGGGAGAGAGAGAGAGCGAGGGATGGGGAGAAACAGAGCGAGAGAGAGAATTTGGAGTTAACGGACTGAGCACAGGTTATGCTGGATGGAGATTCTACTGCATTGAATCCCCCGGCAGAACGCACAGTCACTACACCGTACAGTCAATGCAATTGTGAAAGGATGAACTGCTGTACCAGGAGAGAGAGAGAGAAAAAAATAGACACACACACTTTGTGCTGTTCCACTAATGTGTGCATTCGGGGTATTTAATCCCCAACACTCTCCTATAGCTGTACATACCCCCCCCCCCCCCCCCACCCACAGGTACAGACAGACAGTCAGACACAGACAGAGAGGGAGACTTACCCAGAGCCACATCAAGCAGAGTGAGCAGCAGTAAGTGACTCTCTTTCCAGTTCATTTTAATTGCTGACAATTTCCAAACTCAGTCAGTCTTCTCCTCCCTCCACACATGGTCCAGTGACATCCCAAACCACACGCCACACACTGACATCGCTGCAACTCAATGCCAATCCCCCACAGCAACTCCAATACAATCACAGACAGATTTCTTCAGGGGCTGGTGGTGGGGGTGGAGATGGAGTGAGGGTGGATGGGGAGGGGAATAACAATTAAAAAAATCAAGTTAATTTTTTGGGGGACACATCCATGTGTTCAGGTAGGAACCTGCAGATGAGGATGAGGATAAGATGTCACATTTCAGGCAAAATCTCTCCCCCTTTACTCTCTCTCTCTCTCTCCCTCTCTCCTCTCCTCTCCTCTCAGCCTCTCTCTCTCTCTCTCTCTGTGTGTTTCAGTAGTGAACCTGTCTAATCCTCACTGACAGCCCCAGTTCTGAAAACGATTCACTATTTGTGGTGTTTAAGCCGATTTTCCCAGTGCAGCTCTCCCTCTCTCTCTCTCTCTCTCTGTGTCTCCCTTCAAAATATTAACTCTTTCCACACCACCAATGCACCATCTACTTTTGGTTCAAGGCGGATCATATAATACTGATCCTTAGAATAATCCTCGGATTTGATTTAACGACGACAACAACATTACATTCATATAATTTTTATATATTTTTTTATATATATACATACACTGTTTGTGGGACATTGCTGTGCGCAATTGGCTGCCGCGTTCGCCCACAAATATACAGTCAATTCACTTTACAGTGTGTTCTGTGAAGCGCTTTGGGACGTCCTCCCGACGTGAAAAGCGCTATATCAAATGCAAGGATTATTATTATTATTATTATTATATAGTGCCTTTCACATCGGATAGCGCCTTATCACGTCCTCTAGACACCCTCCCCCTCAAAGCGCTTTGCAGACCATAAGAATGCTAATGGTCCCAACACAGGCAAAGCTGTAATTATTTAATCCTTTCAGGACTCGCCAATTACCCCCTCTCCCCCCCCTCCCCCCCCCCAGAAACAAAATGCAAAAAAAAATGTTTTTTGGTGGGGGGAGGTGGGGATTGGCGTTTCCTGAAAAGAACTTTATATTTATTTTATTTTGTCTCAAATTTATCTAAATCTAGCAAATTTAGATCCATCGATTTTATAATGATGATAATGATAATCCTGGGTTTGATATAGCGCCTTATCACGTCTTTGAGATGCCTCAACGCGCTTCACAGGATACACTGTAAAGTGAATTGATTGTACATTGTGGATGAAATTTGGCATCCAATTTTAATGTATTCCTCCACCCCCATGTAAATTGAATTTGATTCCACCTCAGCCCCCCACCCTACACACACACTCACAGACACACTCAGGGTGGACTTTTTTTCTATCCATAAATAAATAAAAACACGTTATAAAATAAAACAAAGCAAATATAATAATTCTGTTGAAAGTTCCTAGTTTCCTGAGCACGGCGAAACCTTAGGCAAGTTTCCTTCCTCCGCACGCTTCTCTTTAGCTGGCAGGAAGGAGGAACCTGGTTGTTAGTCGATTGTCGGATCGCTTTCTGTGGGTAAGGGAGTTTTTCTCTCTCTCTTGCAGTGTCCTGGCCAACAATCCCCCAGATATAAACATCAGCCACTCACTCCATGGTTGGTTTGAGACTGTATTGTGTGCAAAATGGCTGCCACGTTCCCTCACAAATACACAATCTAATTACTGCAAAGATATGAGATTTTTCCAAGTCACAAGATGCTACAAAATCTGTATTTGTTCACAGCTCCATCTCGGCTCTCAGCCTCACATTCCTTCGCTCGGCGCCTCTCAGGGCGATAATAATAATTTAGTCATTCAATCCACAACTGTTTGTGGGACACTGCTGTGCGCAATTGGCTGCTGCGTTTTGCCCACAACATATAAAGTCAATTCACTCTGCCATATATCCTGTCAAGCGCTTTGAGATGTCTCAATGATGTGATAAGGCACTATATCAAAGGTAAGAATGATTATTATTATTATTATTAGTTACTGAGCCTCTTGCAGCCTGGTTTGGTCGCTCGCTCACTCGCCTCTAGGTCAGGAGGTTGTGGGTTTGAACCCCTATATCAGGGAATTTGATCTCATAGTCCAGGCAGGAAATCCTTTGTATGAGAAGTTAAAACTATTCACTATTTGTGGTGTTGAAACTGATTTTCCACAATGCAGGAGGATGTCAATAATCCTGTGACCTAATTGGAAAGAGAATGGAGTTTCTCCCAGTGTCCTGGTTTACAATCCCCTTCCCTGCGGAAACCTGTAGGTGGGATTTGTTGCCAGTGGTTTGAATATATTATTATTTTATTTGTTATAAAATGGGAATCTGTAGATATCAAGTTTATAATAATAATAATAACCCTTGCATTCTGTACTCTTCTCTTTTTGAATAGTGTCACAGGATCTTTAACATCCACTGGAACAGGCACAGGTGGGACCTTGGTTTAATGTCTCATCCAAAAGACAGCACCTCTGATTATGCAGCGCTTCCCCCACTGCACTGGAGTGTCAGCCTAGACTGTGTTATGTACCACGTGCCATGCACTGGCACTGCAACTGCCCACTGCCCACACATGGTGTGCGGCCTCCAGCCTGTCTGCTTTAATGTTACAATCAGCCATTCTCGGCACAGATAGCTCACGCCTTTCATCTCTTTATCTGAACTCTTTCCTTTATTAATCTAATTTCCTTTATAAATCCCTCAGTGTGTTGACTGATCCTCTTATTATCCTGTTCCCTTTTGACTAATTGCAAATTGTATTGATCCGGCTTTGAGTGTGAATTTTAAGAAGGAACTGTCCCCTGACAACCCCCTGGAGTATTCCACCTCTCCTCAACCCCTTCTCAGCCCTTCTGACAGGCTGTTAAAAGTGGGGAAAATGACTGATTTGTTGTCACCTGTACAGAGGGGACCTCAGTTTAATATCTCATGAGCAGGGCCCACTTTGCCCAGTGAGCTCAGGCCCCAACTTGAGGCTCGAGCCCACAACCTTCTGACTTAATTGTCACTGTCCACTGTCTGTGGATCGGTCACTCACACTCTGAATGGGCTGGACGTGAGAGTGACTGAGGTCCAGGCTGGGGGAGAGAGAGAGTGAGATCAGTCGTATTCTTTTTAATGATGTGAAATGCTGGGTTTATTTTGTTGCTCTCTATTGTTCAGGTCTCTAGTAATAACCAGGATTAATGGTTTACGGGGAATAATCCGCTCTTTAACTGTAACAATCAACTGATTTACAAACACAGTCCAGAGCTGGTAAGTATTGTACATGTAAAGACAGGAGGCAACAGCAAAACACCGAAAGATCACACAATCCCTGGAGGCAAAATGGACGAACGTGTTTAGTTTTTGTTCAGAAAACACCACAGTATTCCGAAGCACATGCCCTTCCTCCTGAATCAGTGGGGGAGATAATTCAGAAAGAAATTCATGAACTCCACGGAAAACGTTGCTAAATCGTGTCAGTCACATTGTCTGGGGCTGAGCAACTCCCACCACCTTGATAAGGCGCTGTAACTGCATGTAACTCGTGCTCTTCATCCCACCATTAGTAGTTGTGCTTTCAGCCAATACGCCCCGAAACTCTGCAGCATTCTTCCTCTACCCCTCTGGCTTGCCCCTTTCGTCCTCACCTTCAAGGTCGTGCCTGAAGACCTTCCTATTCAACCATGTCTATGGTTACCTCCCCCACTCACTGCCCACACAATCCCCCGCACTGCCCCCCCCCACCCCACCGGCTCGGCGTCAAGCTCCGCCACTATCAAGTATTCTGGGACGCTTCCTGAGTGAGTGCCGCTGTGTGAAAATGCAAGTTGTTGTTGTCGTTGACTTGTGAGTAATGGTTTACTTCACGTGCCAAAGGGCGGCCATTTTTGTACTCCGAAAACCTTGATGAAAATGGGGGGAAAAAAAGACAAATTAAAATAAACCTCAACATCATCTGTAGAAATTCAAATCAATGTAAAAAAAAGGAATGCTGTTTCCAAGGTGGGAAGAAATGTGTTTTTTTTTCTCTCTCATGAAATAAGTTGTTTCGGGAAAAGCCAGACTGAGGAGAACTAATGTGAAGTTCGGTGGAGCTTGTAGGCATCGCTGATGGGATAGAGTTGGAAGGGTCAAACCCAACAGAATCTTTCCTCATTGTTCCTGCACCATCTTTATACACAGGGTGAATGTGAACACTAAGGACAGTTACCACCCAGGTCTAACTGTGATCTGATTCTGCTCCTGATTTCAAGCATTCCTCGTTAAGCCCACAAAACACACAGTTAATTCCCTTTACAGTGTACCTGTGAAGTGCTTTGAGATGTCTCAAAGATGTGATAAGGCGTAGTATCCAAATGCAAGGATTATTATTTATTATTATTATTATTATTATCCCAAACCAGGGGAAGCGGCTTCCGTGGAAGTCTGTCAGTGTATAATAATAATAATAATAATAATCCTTACATTCAATACAGTGCCTTTCACATTGGGACGACATCTCAAAGCACTTCACAGGATTTACCTTGGAGGCAAACAAGACAATCCAGTTGCACATAACAACATCCCACAAACAGCCGTGAGGGTGAGTGAGCAATTTTATTTGGGAAGGTTGGCCAGGATACGGGGAGAGAGAAACTCCCTTCTTTTTCTAATAGAGCCGCAGGATCTTTAACATCCATCTGAACAGGCAGACGGGACCTCGGTTAAATATTTCATCCAGAGGAACTGCACTTCCGATAATACAGCGCTCCCTCTACACCACACTGGAGCATCATTATAGATAGATGATATTATAGTTCCAAGTCCCTGTTGTGGAACTTGACCCTACAATCTTCTGATTCAGAAGCCAGAGGACCTCCGGCTAAGCCAGGCTGACACATTGTTGGATCCTTGTTAGTGCAGTGTTTGGGTTACAGGCTTGATTGGGTTATACAATATAATACAATTTGCATTTATTCAGCGCCTTTCATGTCAGGAGGACGTCTCAAAGCAATGCTGGCTGTGAACTCAAGCTGGAAGAGGGATGGGAGAAGCTGGGGGAGGCGTTGCTGCTTAAATCAAAGAGGTTCCTCAAGGTGTTCAAAGCTATGCTAGACGTGCATGTGAAGTGATGTGACCCTAAGCACCAAGTTAAGGTCTGTTACCGTTAAGACAAATTCACTATTAACCTTGGTAGACTTCTGGGGG